TGAAGCTGTGTGTGGGAAAGTAAAGCACACACCATCATTAAAAACCATGTAGAATCACCTTTAGGAGCGATAACTTGATGTAATCGTTTTCTGTATGACTCTGTTAGTCTTCTGTCGTTGTGGAGGAATTTTGGCCCACTCCTCTTCACAGCGTTGCTTCAGTTCATTGAGGTTTTGTGAGCATCCGTTTATGCACAACTTCTTAAGGTTCCACCACAGCATTTCAGTTAGGTTGACTAGGCCATTGCAGTGCCTTGTCTATTTTCTTTTTTAGCCATTCTCTTGTAGATTTGCTGCTGTGCTTGGATCATTGTCCCGTTGCATGACCCAATTTCACCCAAGCTTTGGCTGCATGACAGACGGCTTCACATTTGACTCGAGAATACTTTGGCAGGAGTTCACGGTTGACTCAGTGACTACAAAGTGCCCAGGTGCTGTGGCTGCACAACAAACCCAAACCATCACCCTTCCACCGCCGTGCTTGACATTTGGTATGAGGTGTTTTCACTGATACATGTGGTGCTTTTCACTGTGGGCAGACTTCTCCACTTTAATCTTCTCGGTCCAAAGGACATTGTTCCAGATCCAGAAGTGTTGTGCTGCCATTTTCAGAGAGAAGACTTTCTCCCTTTAATCCTTCCCAACAAGCCACACTTGTTAAGTCTTTTTTATTTATTTTTTTTAACTTGCACTGTCATGAACTTTAACATTTAACATGCTACATGAGGCCTTTAGAGTCTCACTGCATGTAGCTCTTGGGTTCTTTGTGGCTTCTCTAAGCATTTCACAGTCTGACATTGGGGGAAATTTGCTGGGACGTTCACTCCAGGGAACGACTATCTGGCAGCTATCTCGACTGTTTTCGACTTGTGAATAATCTTTCTTACTGCAGAATTTTGGACTTTGGAATATTATGTTACAACCCTTCCCAGATTGTTACTACTGTTACACATGTGGCCACACCTGCTGATGATCAGTTGGTCAAGTACATTTAATTATGAGCACCTTTGAGACTACTTACCCTATTAATTCCTGTTTATTAGGAAAAGTACAAAATATCGTACCTATTTCATATCACTGTCCTGAGCTGAAGTATGTGGGTGTCACAGTCTCTTTGTCTTGTATACGCAACACAGATTCCACTCTGCGATTCTGTAACAAAAAACTCTGTAACAAGTTTAAATATTTCAGGGAGTGCAACGAAAACAACTGTTAGTGTTTTCCTCTGTGTTCTCTTGCTGTGACATGTCAATATGTGCTCTGTGATAAAGATGTGTTTACTGAGGTTTCATTAAATTAAAACTGAATGCAGTTTTCTAATTTTTACAGAAGTTAAGTGGCTTAAAAGTCGCTGATATTAGCTGACAAAATATATATTTGTTACCTAATAATCCTAATAATGTTTCCTTTTTCAGATGTTGATTCTTCAGTGGCAGTTTCAGGGTGGTTGCTAGCCATCTGTCGAGACTAACATGGAACGAGAGGGCTCATTTAGAAGGTAAGCATACACACACACACACACACACACACACACACACACACACACACACACACACACACACACACACACACACAACTTCATCAGCAAGTCCTATCACTACACAGAGTTCCATTTTTTCCATCCTTTGAGACACACAAATGTTGATCAAAGTGAAAAACACACACACAACACACACACACACACACACGACACACACACACACACACACACACACACACACACACACACACACACACATTCCTGAGTGACCTCATTCATGCTTTCACTCATTCAAACATCCCCATTGTTTAGTAATCAGAGGGCAGCTATTTGTCGTTAAACTCGTCCTGTTGATTTAGTGCCAAAAAAAAAACTTTTTTACTTCCAAGTTATGTCAGCATCTTTTCGTTTATAAAGTAAATACCTTTTCCCATTAGAACAATACACACCATGTGTAGTTAAGTTGTTATTGTGAGCCTCACCATTGTGTTTTATCTTCTGCATCATCCATTTTTCAGGAGGAAGCTTTTGGCTCAAGCGTGTATAGATTCAATTTCGCTCTTTCAGAGGTGCAGCTCTGAACTTAAACTTAAAAAGTCGTCCTGACTTTGACATGAACTCTGCACAGGGATGTGTGCTGTCTTTTTGCATGTGTGACTGAGCCCAGGGCTCCAGTTTCTTGCTCTGACCCATTTATGCAGAGCTGAACTAAGATTCAGGTTGACAGATGGACCAACAGCAACTATACCTTCCATCTCCTTTTCCTTATTTATTTATACTCGGCTCAGATTTTCCATTCCTTTTTTTCTCGTGAGCTTTCGCACTTCCTTAAAATTCTTTTCATATCAGTGTGTCCGCTGATTACCGATCATTCAGTATGGAGAATACCAAAAATACTGAAGGTTCAATATTAAATAAATAGAGTCATCAGTCTGTATTTACAGCTTCTCCCACACTCTGGGAGGCGAGTGGAAGGTAAAGCGAAATCTGTGTCACCTTTAAATCCTTCCTCTCCCTCTTGGCACCATTCAAACCTCAAAGGGTTCCTTTGTTCGCCTGACACAAAAGCTCACAGGGTCACATGCTGACCAACTGGCACAGACTGGCAAAGGGAGAAAAAGAAGGAGAGTGGTAAAGTGGGAGAGAGGAGTGGGTAGAGAAGAGCACAAAGGGTGACGGTGGGAGAGAGGGAAAGTGAAAGGATATGAGAAGAGACAGAGACAGGCCTTGTTTCATCTTACAGTCATGGAGTGGGGATATGTGGTACCTTTTCAGTTGCTAGAGTAAGTACAATACCTGCAAGTATATTTGAGGTTTTTCATATTTGCTAAACAGTGACTGCCATTTAAATGTGTTTTTTAAAGTTTCGATTCACCTGTAAATTCAGAAGTGATTGAGTAAATGTTTGATAGACATTACCCAAAAATGGACATGTGCACTTTGTTTGTTTGTTGGGTTAATTTACTAAAATTTCAGTATAATTAAAATCCAAATATTAACACTTTCATTTGCAGAAAAAGGCTCACTCTTACTATCTCTAAAGCGCCTTTTCCTCTTCATCTACCTCTTTGTACACTCCTCCCACCCTTCTTTTATCTTTGTAATGTCTGTGGTTTCAATCTCTGCTTCTTCTTTTTTTTACTGTCGACGTGCTTTGTTTGCTTTTTCTGCACCTGATCCGGCATGTGTTATATACCTTTATCCACACCCTGTTTCTTACTCTCTTCTTGAGCTTCTTACTCCCAGGTCTTTCCCCACTCTGTCCTCCCTGTTTATTTTTATCCTGTTTGACTGGCACCCATCTCTTTGCTCAGTGTTTGAAAAGCAGTATCGTTCCCAAGCTAGTGTAAACATTAACAGATGGCTAATAAAAAGCAATCACCTGTTATTAAATGCTAATTTTGAAAGCCATCAAAATCTGGAAAATGACTGAAGTGTATTTACACAGCAGCTGATACGTTCATATATTTCCCCCCCTTTGTTTAGCAAAGTAACATTTTACAGTATAACAGCTTTTAATTTGCATATGCCAAAATGAAGATCATACATGTGTTTGTATTTGTAATATATAACATAGCTGCTACATTTTCAGTCCAGTCCTTGTACTTGGCTATTTTCAGTGGATTCTTTTTATTAAGCTTCTTAACAAAGTATGATCTATAAAGTATTCAAGCATAAAAAAAAGTAGTCTAACTTAAAGGGTGAACCAGTGTTGGGTCTGTATATATATAACAGGTGTATTAGCAAAGAACCAATTTTAAATGACATCTTTAGGCACTTTTTTACTAACAGCTTGTCACACACGCACGTAATTCGGTTCAATTTCTTTACTTGAATCTACGAAAAAGGCCAAATATGACACAGTTTGACAGGCATGAAATAATATTCCATAGTATTCCCAAACACCTGGTAGCTGAAAACATATCTTGGCACAGTGTGCAGTGTCTCCTGAGGAAATGGGACAAATGGATGATGAAACACAAAGTGGCAGGCCTAAAACGTATCTACAGCCGATGAACTGTAGATACGTTTTGTCCTTAAAAAAGTAATGTCCTTAAAAAATATGGAAAAAAAAAAAAAGACGTGACACAGGAGCAGAGAAGTGCATCTGACCTTTCAGTTGATCTGTCTGCAATTCACTGAAACCTCATCCAAAATCTTTTCATGTAAAGGTTGGCTGTAAAGAAGCCATTCTTCTGGACGGGAAAGGGAAAAAGGCTGAGGAATGCCAAATTGCACAAGAACTGGACTGAAAATCAGTTTGACTTTTTTGGTGGAGGTGGTTAGGAGCGAGAGTGAGTGTCTGCATCCAGCTGCAAAACACGGTGGAAGCTCTGTCATGATTAGGGGGTGCATTTCAGCCAGCGGTGTTGGAGATGATGTCAAAGCTGATGGAATTATGAACGAAGAAAAGTACCAGCGGATTTTGATCCAATATGTAATACCACCTGGAAAATTGGCAACAGTTCTTTGGCACAATGGTGATTGCAAACACACTGAAAATGCATTAAAAGCAAACCTGGACAGGAAAACACACAAGGGAACATTTTTGGTCATGGACTGAAGAAATCTTTCCTAAGAGAGTTCACACCAAATATTGACTTCCAGGCTTGTTAGAACTGTACAAACTTATATATCGTATAAATGGTTGTACATTCAAGTGTAAATTGTTGCATCTATTTCCCATTTTTCCAGCAATATTTGAGGAAATGAAATTAATTCATTTAGATGACCTTTACAAATAAGGCTTTTCACATCATCTTTTCCAGTACACGTAAGAAATGAAAGTTGGTGCTTACAAGCATTTTCTCTTTCTTCCTGTTGGCTTTCAAGGAGCCTCCATAACAAACTGAGGTTGGGGACCGGCTCGTCCTCCAGTCTGACTGACCTCTCCCAGGCAAAGACCCCAACAGGAGGTGGGGAGAAGGGAGGAACAGAGGAGAGCAGCAGAGACAAAGGGACCCAGCAGAGGAGGGCCGGGGCTAACGCCACCTGGAACAGGTTAGCCCTGTTTATTATAACCAATGTCAGTTTATATTTTAGTGAATACTTTATTTTGTTAATGGATAAGCCATCACACATTTTTACATGAACAAGTGCTTGTGTGTGTGTTTCCTTTACTAGTGGGAAGCTCTGTCAGTGCTGTTGTCCATGCTATGAATAGGACAGTCTCCTTTCACTTACACATGAAAATACATATACGCACATGGACATCAGCTCTTTCTGCCTGCCTTCTTCCCTCAGGGTCCATCACTACTACACTTTATTTCCATCCATCCATCCCTTCCTCACTCCCTCCTCCTTTTTTCCCATTCTGCTTCGCAGGTTTTTTTCTTCTTTGGATTTCTTTCTTCTCACTCTTTTGTATGGTTGTTTCTAACGGTGTTTCTGCTTTATTCAACACTAAACAGCACAGAGTAGAAAGCAAGAGCTGTCAGTTTGCTGGGTGGCTGAAAGGCTATGTGAACAAATTAAACTGGACACAAACCTTCAGTCAAAAAAGTTCATGCCCGTCTCATTGTAGTATGTTTTACCTTTCCGATGGCCTTCCTTTGGTAAAGAAACCTTTTCAAAGTTTATTTTTAACCAGTTCTTTTGAGGTGGCTTCAAGAGCTCACCGATTGTTCAAACGGCACAATTAAAATAAAATAAATGCATGTATGTGTGTCACTCTTTCTAAATGCATTTCGCCTCTCCGTGTGTTTATTTCTAGCATCCACAATGCAGTAATCTCAGTTTTTCAGAGGAAGGATCTGGGAGAAAATGAACTCTACAATCTGAATGAAGGTGTCAGGTTAGCTGTCTAGTTTTATGTCTCTTGCTGGCCTTTACACCAGTACCCTGAACTTTTAGCTGATTTGTATTTTAGAATATTTGATTAAATTATCACTGCTAAAGCTTTGATTTCCCATCTTACCTTACTGCAGCAGAATATTTCTTACTTGAAACATATATAAACATGCTTACAAGTTAACACAGGCATGTTATACTGTTCATAAATTGGATTTACCTTAAAATTGCTTTAAAGAAGAGACACTGTAACCTTGAAATTAGATGGAAATGCAGCATCTGTCATTTTAGTGTATTTAATCACACAGTGTTTGTTCTTTGAGCTGCTGATGTTCAATCATGATACTGAGCCAGTGCTAGCCTTTGCTAACTGTGGAAAGTTTTATTGAAATTTCCAGATGTTATGTATGCAGTGTGAGCAGCATCTTTTCTCATTTCCTGAGTCTGATGTTCCGTAAACACAGCATTCTGCAAACTCATTACGTCTGGTTCATTTCCAAGGAGGTATCGCTGATGATGTGTGACTGTAAGCATATCGCTTCATGTCCAGTATCCACTCATGTGCTGTTATTATAACCATTGCAGGCAACTGCTTAAGACTGAGCTGGGCTCCTTCTTTACTGAGTACCTTCAGAACCAGCTGCTCACCAAAGGAATGGTCATTCTGAGGGACAAGATTCGCTTCTATGAAGGTAAACACAAATTATTGAGAAAATAGACAGAAAGTGGGACGTATATACAGAGTGAGAAATTTGAACCTTTATTTCTATGATGGTATATCATGTTTTGAATAAAGAAATGGCTGCCAGAGACTGGTGTTTAAACAGTTTGATTACAAGCTTAAAATATAGACATAAAAGGGTAAAAATAAAATCAGGGTTGTCCCTTTAACCTTATAAAGTATTTCTTTAAAGTGGTCAGATGTCAGAGCAAATTTACATGGATAAAATCTCTAAATATGCAAGTTCGTAAGTTTTTAGTTTGGATAAGAATGGCACAAACACAGGTTTTCAGGGAAATTGAAAAAAAAAGCACCCAATAAAAGATCTACAGCCTCTGTAGGCTTCATATTAAATGTTAAAGTTCATCACATTATGATTTGTTTGGAAGGAAAAAGTCCCTTGGTAGCACAGCTTAGGTTTGCAAAGTTGTATCTGAACAAACCACATGACTTCTGGAACAGTGGAGATGTTTGGAGATAATGCACTTCGCCATGTTTGGAGAAAACCAAACACAGCATATCAGCACAAGCACATCATACTAACTGTGAAGCACGGTGGTGGAGGCGTGATGATTTGGGCTTGTTTTGCAGCCACAGGACCAGGACCAGGAGTTGACCATTAACTGTGAGGTCATCTGTTCAACAGACAGCTAAAGCTTAGACAAAAGTGATCCAGAGTACAGCAACAAATCTGCAAAAGAAAAGAATCAAATTGTTGTAATGATCCACTCAGAGACCTTTTTTTTTTTTTTAACATTTTATTTATTTTTAACAGCAGAGCGTCCTGCAAAAACCTTTTTTTCCCCATATGACTGTACATGTCTAAAGCTTTGATATATCAGAGCCAATTACCAGGGAGAAACTCAACAAAAGAGCAAGTTCAGAAATATTAATCTAAAGACTGCAAAAATGTGTATTAGCTGGACGTTTAACACCACCTGTATCTGCTTCTCAAGTAAATTGTGTGTCCTTCATTTTAACGGGGAAAAAACAACCTTTTGTGTCATCTAGGTTACTTATTTGCAGAGAATTATTTTCACCACGGTAAAAAAATTCTACAAAATTCTTTGCTGAGTCTTTAGTTTCAACTCCTTTGTTCATAGCCGACAAAGCCTTCTGGCTTTGATGAGGTGTTCACACTACCAGTAGTTTGTTTCAGGGGAAGTCCGAGATTAGTGTTTTATCTTAACATGACACAAGTCTAGTCTCTAATGGTTTCACACGGGGCCAAATAATAACTTACTAAAGAAATTTCTAGATGCAGAGGTAACTGCATTAGTTAAATATTACTTTGACTGGTAAGATCGTGGCATTTTTCTGCACAAGGACACACAGAAACACACACTGATGCACGCACACAGGTAGAGTGAGAGAAAGGTATTTTGTACTGTGGTAAATGTGTGACCTTTATTTGAAGCACTGCTGAATTGATATAACGCACACACTCTGATGGTGACAGATTTGTGTGACAGAACCGTCATCACAAAACCAGACAGGAAGCGATCCTTTACGTCAATAAGTAAGAAGGTTTGCGTGTGTGTGTGTGTGCATATGCAGAAAAATGTCCCACCAGAAATAAAAGAACAAAGCTGTAAAGTTGCTATCTGGATTATCAGACCTGTTTTTTATAGGTCAATAACTATTTTTGCAATGACACATTTTTTTAATCTTCTGCCTCTGAACTCTGCCCTTGTGTCAAACAATGAAGCCGTGATTATAGTTCAAACCTTGAGCTTGAATTCAAGGACTCCAACAACAGTATTACATTAACTATTTGGAAACTACAGCCACTTTTATGCATAGTCCTTTAAGCATGCTTTCCACAATCCCAATATCTTTTTCCTACATCAGTCTTGATACTTTTATAACTGATCTGCCTGGTTGTATCGCAGGTCAAAAGTTGTTGGATTCTCTGGCTGACACGTGGGACTTCTTCTTCTGTGACGTTCTGTCCATGCTGCAGGCCATCTTCTATCCTGTACAGGTACACATTCTTGCAAACAAGTACTCCAATTAAAGGCCTTCATCACATTGAAACGTGTATATATCATCAGGGAAAGGAGCCATCAGTCCGTCAGCTGGCTCTCCTTCACTTCAGGAACACCATCACCCTCAACCTTAAACTAGACGAGGCGCTCTCTCGGCCCCGAGCCCGAGTTCCTCCCTCCATCATACAGATGCTACTAATACTACAGGTGAGCACACTTTTGTGGTCTGCCTCTCCCATCGTCTTTGTCTAATAATCTCTCGTGCTATCTCTTATATCAGTGTGCACCATTTAACACTGATATCCATGACTTGATGACTGTGATATGAGAGAACAGGGTAAATGGCAACAGATGGAGAAAGAGGAGCAGAGGGTAGAAAAAAGTTGTTGCTAAGGGATCCCACAGGAAGTAATCTCAGTGTGAACACAGAGCACGGTTGTCTTCCCATGACCATTCAGGACCCTCTGCACCCTGTTTGTCTGTGTGAATTATGAGGATTTATGCTATCATTAAAGGCCGTAACAACTTCACAAGAGCTTTATTAGACTTCTGTACCCCTTAGTTCAGTTGATGTAAATTGTAGTGCAGGCAAAGACTTGCTTGTCCATTTCTTTACTTTTTTTTTTGTTTTTCCAATAATTTATAATAATCTGCTTATATATTTTCGTTCAGTTTGTTACATTTTATATTTGATGCCTTACAGTAACTTCTCATAGAGTTTGCACAGACCTAAACAGCCCAGACAGGATGGCAGGATGAAAGCACATAGAAGCTAGTTGTTACAATATTAGCACTTTATAACCAGTCAGTTTGGTCTTGTCCATTGTTACCTAAATGCAATGGTTTCTTCCATTTCTAGAGTAATAATAGTAATGGACATTTTATAGGACTGCTGTTGTTGTTGGTGTCACACTGTTTGGACAGGCCGTGTGAACCCCTAACAGACTCCAACATTAGCCACTAATAGTCTCTTTCATGTGGACTTGCAGCACGGTGATGGGGACTCTGCATAGTACTCCACTTTTTTTTTTCCTATCTCAGTGTAAATGTATTTAAACTAGAGGTTGGAACAGTAAGTTATCAGCTAAGGCAATGTCACGGTCCGCGGGGCAGACTGAGTGGAATGAGTGAGGTGGATCCAGGTACAGACACAGATGAGGAGCCAAACTGAGCTTAAGGAAAAGTGAGCCTTTATTTTGGGGCTGACACTCACAGCCAAGAAGCAAGACAAAATCAGGGAAAATCTAAACTTAAACTGGGAAACAATAACTAAGACTTTCACTATGACTTTGAGAATGAAAACCATGACAGGATGTGGGGTAGGTAGCACAGACGACGCGACAGTGAACAAAGGGAGACGGAGGACTTAAATACACACATGAGGTGATCAGGAGAAGTGGAGACACATGAGGACACAGCTAACTCGAATGAAACATAATGACAACACAGGGGAGAGTAACACTGGACACACTAACACGAGACACGGACCTTCAAGGTAAAACAGGAAACATGACAGGCACAGACTAGACACTGAACTAAACCTATGAACAAAACTCTTAACTAGAATAACACTGAAACTTAGGATTATAATGTTCAAAACAGGACAACTAAAGACTTAGAAAATAAACCATAAAATAGAAAAAACACCAAAATACAAGAAACTGAAAAAAGTGGGTCAAAATGACCCAGAACCATGACAGGCAAGTGTGCTTGGTTACACCCTTATCGACCACTTAGTGCTAACAGGAGGACAGACATTTGTTTAGAACTCTTAAAGATGTCGAAGAAGCAAGCTCCTTTAAGCAATTACTTTGGTGTTCCTCCACCTCCAAAGAAATGAAGGAGTCCGAACCGCAAAAGAAGCGCGTATTCTCAGAAAAGTGGTTTCAGGAGGTGAGCTGGTTTCAAACAAATGATGAACGCACATATATGCATAATATGCCGTGAAAATCCCACTCTAGCAGATAAAAACAGTGCCTTTTATATTATATTAAAGGCACTGTTTTTGTCCACTTTCCCGAGAATACGCACTTCTTTTGCAGTTCGGACTCTTTCTGACATTTCTTTGGAGGTGGAGGAACACCAAAGTAATTGCTTAAAGGAGGTTGTTTCTTCGACATCTTTAAGAGTTCTAAACAAATGTCTGTCCTCCTCCTGAAAATCTTATGTACGCAAACGCGCGTTGCAACTTCTTATCTGGTGCGCGTCTTTTATTTTGAAAGCGCACCTGCGGACCACTTATGTGCACCCCTGTTAATAGACCACACATTTAAACCAGCCACACTTTAAACTTTAACAACATCTAAATTAATTTTTTTTAAGTCATACATCATAGAGTTGATATGAGAAGAGGATTTGCTAAAGCATTTAATTGTACCAAACTGTAAATGTGCTTTTTAATGCCCCTATGTCGTGCTAACAAGCTAACATACTAGTCTGGGGATTGACTCACTTTTGGAGCGTTGCAGTGCTTCTCAAGTAGGCCCAGAAAATATGGGTGTGTCTTGCAACTGAGGTAGCCATGTGAGCTTTCCTCTTCTGTCACCTATTGGTTTTTATTTTACTTTGTCTCTTCTTCATAACTTAACAATGTTTCATCAGCCTGTAAAAAATAGTTAAAAGGAAATCAGCTAAAAACAGTCCCCTTGATTACACACAAAGATAAAAGTGTCAAAGAGTGACTAATTCTCAGAAGGATACAGAGGAGACCAGATGAATACCATGAAAAATGTAGGTGTTGCTTAAGTAACAACAGCTGTGGTACTTTCTCTGAATTTTGACATGGTTGGAATATGTTAAAATCAATTAAAATAGAATAAAATAAGACTAGTGTGTGGGCCATTTTTAGATATTTTACCCATCTACCAAATCTTTTAACTTAAAAGCACTTGGTACAAAGATTCCTGAGAGGTACTAGTCACGGATAAGCTGTGGTCCTGGTAGTGCATGACAGTGGGTTTACTCAGTGTTGTAGAGGATGCAGAATGGGGTTGTTTCTGTTTGGTTTAGCTTGGACATTATTATGATGACTAATTGACCCAAATCTGGTCCTTCCAGATTCAGACTGAGAGGGCAAGACGAGACGAAAATAGAAAGCACAATTTATTTATTCCCTTCTTTTATTCATTGTGCACAGATATACTGCTGAGTTATTTTAGTTTGCACACAGCGAATATCAACAGAGAGCAAAGCGGGAGAAAAAGATGACAGGTAGACAAAAAGAAGGAAGGAAGTAGGGCAGCTAAGAAAAAGGCTGTTTGTAAGAGAGGTAAAATTTGGCACTGAAACAATGCAGTTTTTGCTAATTCCTCAATTCATCTGTTTGTAATTTCCCTTTCATTCTGTTAAGCCTCTGTGACGCCAGTTCACTGAAGTCTGTGCTATTTATGTGGTTTGTTTCTGTGCTGTGGTTTTCGTGCATGGGCTTAACAATTTAGAATATTGAAACTTCACTGATCTATCCCTTGTCATTTTGAGATATTGCAGTGAGGTCTGGAGCCACATGTGTCTCATGTGTTTCATGAACAATGTTGTGGAAGTAAATTTGAACTACATTCAACTGTAGAGCAGCAGTTTGGCTTTAACTGAACAGAAACACAAAATCGGAAACTTTCAAACAGCAGAAGTACTTTTGTGTTAAAGATGATTTATATCTGTTGATCAAATGACTGTGTGGTGTAAAAGATCCACTGTGCAGTTCCTCTCCGCTCGAACTTTCTTTTAGCTCATTGTTTTCACTACCATCAAGATCATCATAATACAGATTTTCAACTTTTTGTTCAGCTGCAAAAGACGGATCTACTAAATATTGATTTAATTTCTTTTTCTGTGGTGCCCAAATGTATGCACCTGCCTGATTTTGTTTGAACAATTATTGCACACTTTCTGTAAATCCATTAAACTTAATTTCATTTCTCAAATATCACTGTGTGTGTCTCCTATATGATATATTTAACTGACATTTTTTATTGTAACAACCAACAATTCATTTATGATTCATTAATCTTGAATTGTCTGCTCTAACTGCTCTATTCCCATGTTGTTGCAGTATATTAATGGCTAACATTGTACTGTGGATGGATTGTCTCAGTTGTTCTCCTGACTGAAGTTTACAGTCCGTTTAAAGCATGCTGCATTGCGATTGCATTTGTCCCCAACCATCGGGAACTCTCCCATTAACTTTTATTGAGTGGAAAATAGTTAGTATTCATCCTCCAGCTTCACTGTGTTTATATTATGCTAACATAGCCATGTCGCTAGCAATCACATCCTTATATACCAGCTAGCCCAACTACAGTAACCCTACAAAAGTCACTGCTTGTTTAGTTTTTTTTGTATTTGTTTATGTTGGAAGTGATAGCAGAGCTGTACGTTTTAATTTTTTCAGAAATCTGTCAGTCAGAACATGCTATATCATGTTTAGGTGGAAACTAGCGAGCTAACTTCCTGCTAACTTCTAACTCTGTTAAATTTAATAAATCCTGTTTTGATGGATGCCTGGGTGTTAAACAATGATCAGTTGTTTAAACAATTATTGCACCTTTCTGTAAATCCAATAAACTTCATTTCACTTCTCAAATATCACTGTGTGTGTCTCCTATATGATATATTTAACTGACATTTTTTATTGTAACAACCAACGATTTATACAGAAAAATAATGACTATTAACAAGGTTGCCCAAACCTTTGCATCCCACTGTATATGTTTATACAAGGCTAACATTCACACCAAATTGATTCTGCTATATTTAATGTGTTCTTTTCGGCCTAGCCTCTAAAGACATACATGTTTTAAACTGAAAAAAGGTTTATCAGAGATCTTTCACAGTAACTGGCAGAGTGTTTGATAAAATCACAGAAAGCCAAATAGAGAACTTTCTCTTTCCCCGGTTTTTTCTTTTTTCGCTGCTTCTAAAGTTTCCATTAGTGCCAGCCAACACACTGCAATTACCCGCTAAGACAAACTTGTGTTTTTTATGTGTATGTTTGTGTTCCTTTGATCCAGGGTGTCCATGAGTCTAAAGGTGTAACAGATGATTACCTGCGCCTTGAAGCTCTCATCCAGAAGGTGGTCTCTCCTTACCTCGGCACTCATGGCTTATATTCCAGGGATGAATCCTCCAGTATGCACTGCTCTTCCTGTCTTTTGGGTAAGTGTGTGCTTGTGTGTACTTGAAAAACTCACAAATTCCATTTTAATTCAGGCTTTCTGTGGTTTTTGCAGAATGTTTGCAATTCTAAACTAATAAGGTTTCTCTTTCTGCTTCTCTCTTTTGTCTTCATTAGAAAAACGCCTACAGTACTCCTGGTCCTCCAAACTAAGCAGTTCTCCTGTTGTCAAAAACCCAGTGGTCCGCTCTAAGAGCTACAATGTTCCCATGCTAACCCCTGTAGTAGAGTATGACATAGATTCCTCCTCAGGGAGCGGCACAGGCATCAGGCGGCATTCGGTATGTGAGATGACGTCTTGCGTGGAGGAAAGCATCCCTAAGACAAAGTCCACCATAAGTGCCCCTGACAACAACAGTAACACCAGCACTTCGAGCCTCGCCAATCACTCCTCAGCTTCCACCACCTCTGCTTCACTTTCAGGTAGGACTATATGGCTAGAGTTAATGAATCCCTTTAAAAAGACAGTGGAACTCAAAAGTAAATATATGTGTTTTTCCTCAGCTGTGCAGCGCTATTCATCTGTCTAAATTATAGATGAGTACATATGAAAAAAACTCCACAACCCAATCAAAGTTTGGGATTTTTTTTCATGATTTCCTGAAAGATTTCTTGACTTGGATAAGTGGAAGTTGCATGGATGGATCAGTGGTTCCTTGACAGAGACTGACAGTTTTTTATATGTATTTTTGACAGATTAAAAATAAGTGTTAGTGTTTTCCAATGCATTAATACAAGTGATATTTACCTTTAATTTAGGTTAAAAACAATTAATTAATACATACATTTTGATTCTTACTAAACTAGGAGTAACACTTCTTCTGCACAAAAAATATTACAAAACTGAATGGATTTTGGTTTTGAAGTGGAGCAACATTTTAATTTATCGGGTTAACCAGATTAGCCAGAATCCAAGATGTAAGTGAGAGATAAGTTTTCAAGAATGCAGGCAGAGTGGAGATTTCAGGCCATAATGCACAGACTCGCATTTGGAGAAAACCTGTGAAATGCTGTGCCAGGACCTTAAGAGAGCTGTGCATAAGTGAATCTCAACAAACCTCAAAGAACTGAGGCAGCACATGTGCATTTTGGTTTATTTCTGTTAAATAAATGTGTTGCTGTTCAGTTGAGGTTGTGTCTGAGGTCCTGGTAGGAACCTGATATATTTTCTTATTATGTCCTGGTATTTAAAACCTTAGAATTGACAGGGGATGTACTTTATTTTTACAATGACTGTCGATTACTGGAAGGGAGTAGTACTGAATACATTTATGAATTTTGAAATGAGCATGGTGATGTTGAAAAACAGAAGTGACAAAAAATAGAGAATTAGGAATAGCTTATATTACCAAGAAAAAAGGAAACAGAGACAAATCTTCCTTATTTCTTCTTCGTTGTCGTCTTCTTTTAACTAGTCTCGCTTTAGTAGTCATCAAAGGGTAATCTGCCTCCATCTCACCCTGTCCCTGGCATCTTCCTCTGTCACACCAACCTTCTGCATGTTCTCCTTTTGCTACATCCATGAACTTTCTATGTGGTCTTTCTTTTTTCCTCCTGCCTACCAGTTCCTCTTCAACGTCCTTTGTTCAATATATCCTCTGTTCCTCCTCTGTACACGTCCAAAGCATCTTCTGCCTCTCTCTGCCATTCTCTTCGTCACCTCTCTTATACACTGTCTATGACTTTGGATGGGTGACTCTAGCTATTTAAACTCATATAACTTCACTATCACTACTTTTTTCAGCTTTTTTGTTACACCCGTCTCCCTCTCATTCTCACACATGTATTCTGTTTTGCTTCCACTGACTTTGATTCCTCTTCTCTCCAGAGCATGCTTCCACCTCTCCAGGCTCTCTCCCTACTCTCACTACAAATCACAGTGTCCTCTGTAAACGTCATGATGTATGGAGACTCCTGCCTAACCTCATCTGTCAGCCTGTCTACCATCATTGCAAACAAGAAGTGGCTGAGAGCCAATCACTGATGTAATCCCAGCTCCACCTTGAACCCATCAGTCTTTCCTTCTGCACACCTCACACACTGTCTTGCTCTCCTCATGCATGTCTAGCACCAGCCTCAGATTCTTCCATTTGTTAGAATTTTACAGAAATATAAAGAAATGGAGTGAGATTTAATTGGCGTATTCTTGAAAAAGTAGGATGCATGCTGTGTAGGTTTTTCACATTAAGGTCAAACTATATTATGTTACGAAATCTCTCAGAGCTGTGAGACAGACTGTGGTTTGAGATGTTTAGTGAGGTTAAAAGTAACAGGCAACATGCTCTGCAGAGGCAGCAGTGTAAATCCTGAAATCACTGGAGTTATTTGGTGATGTTTCTACCATCCCATGATGCATCTGCTATACAGTGAAATCTAGACAGAAATGGTTAATATTGGCACAGCTTTATTATTGGAATCTTTGATCCAAATATATTTTTTGCTAACAAGCTACAGTACAGAAACGTAGAGGAAAATCAGTTTCACCTCCAAAAGTTTTGCTTTACTTTGTGCAGACGGTGCAACCTCCAGCCAGAAACTCCGAACCATAGGTGCTGGAAGCCAAGCAGCTCCCCACCCTACCCAGCGTCAGCAACACTCCCCTAGCATCTTCCCCGAGCCTTCCCCAGACGAGGACACACATTGCACTGGCTCGCTGGAGTTCGACTCTTCCTCCTCCTCCAAGGTTCTGGCTCAGGACACCAGCTCCGGTCCCAGTCCTTCTTCCAGTCCGGGGATGATGATGGACCACATGATGGAAGATTCTCTGGACTCGGAGATGGAGCTTGATGGGATCTTCCTGAACTTCTCAAAACAATCTTCAGGAGGATCAGCGGACACCAGAGACAGCAGCAAGGAGAGTGTGGCATGACACACAGACCAATGTGTGTGCGTGTGTGGATGTGTGCAAACTTCACCTGTGTGATGCAGGTCTGAGCCACGACTGACATTCCTCAAACTGCTGTTTTCTAGAGACTCTAGATCTTCAGGGAATCTTTAAAACTGGATTATTTTTCTGTGTCTTGTGCTTTTTCACTAAAATCAAGTCTAATTTTATGATGCCTTTTGTAATATTTCATTGTAGTTAGTTAGAAACATCGACACTGGCCCCTGTGGGGAGATTTATATTATTCATTCACATTCAAACTAAACAATCACAAAATAAAACCATAAATGAAAACATGGAAAACACATAAAACACAGCAAAAGGGCAGAAGCATGAAAAACGTGGAGATACTTTTGGATACTTTTTGAAATGCTTGGACAGTCAAACTCAAACTTCTAACATTTCATATGTTTTGGAAAACTAGCATGTTTGACAAGCAATGCAAATCATATTTTATTAAATTACTATTAAAATACTCATTTGATTTAAACATTTTTTTTTTGTCTCTGTTTCAAATTAAGACTTAAACTGGTGGGAACTCTTTCCAAAAGAGGCTTAAGCTACAGTCAAGTAAACCACTTATTTCTAGTACATCTAAATGCTGTGCTTTTGGGCTGTTCTACATCGGTGACAGTTTTTCTATGCAGTTGCTTCAGAAAAGCGCTGCGAAAGAGCATAAAACACAGTGGAAATAGATTAAAAACACATACAAACACGCAGAACGGAAGTTGAGGAAAACGAAATGGAAGTAGAAACACAAAAACACAACGGAAGTGTTTTGGGGGGAGATATGAGTGACGGAACAGCAGCAGAATCCAAAAATGTGTGAAGGATTGTTCTGAGACACATTTTAAGGATGTGGAGGATTCGTTGGTGTTGTGAGCGAGGGAAAAATAGCAGGTAATGTGTCTTTTAATCATATGATTCATATAATATTGTAGAGTCATGTTTGCTATTAGCCGTTTACTGTTAGCTTGCTACTCTTATTCTCTCCCTAAAAACGCTTCCGTTGTGTTTCGTGAATTTTTGTTCTTGCTGGCGTTTTCTTATTTTGCTTTTGGTAAAATGCAGTTTTAAATAAGGATTTGTGTCGAAAATGCACACTGCCAGCTGAAGTTGCAGTTTTGTTCTAAAACGTCGTTCAGTTTTGAAGCATTCAAACAACAGTTGACAAACATTATCCTGCTTCTTTTTTTTCTTAATCCTTTACATCTTTTTGTCAAATCAAAATAGTCTCTGAAGAAATTGTGTGAGTCAAATGTTAGGACATGTTAATCAAAGACAGCCTTATCAGCAAAGCATAGAAAACTTGTTCCACTCCCAGATTTGGCATCTTTTACCAAACCTTATCTTGTCCCCTTTTCTTATCTCAGCTCTTCTTCCATTGTGTTAGTGTCCACTTAAAATAGCAGAAAGCCAAGTGTAAATCATTTGTCATGGAGCAACAGTCAGTCTAAACAACCTTTAATGTGAGTTTTCCTTGTTTACACATCTGGGCCTAAATCAGAATCAGCAGCATGCGCTTCCTGTTTCTGCATGAACGCAGCCGTTAAAGTTGTGCTGACAAACTGTATTTTGCGTTTTGCAACGTATATTAGTTGTTTGCGTTTACTGAATATGATCACGAGCGCTCAATGTCTGAATTCATTTTTTTAAGTACACCGTCCACGTTACTTTCTTTTCTCTTTTTTTTTTATTTGAACAATTGAACAACAAATATACATAGTAATGTAGTTATAGAAAGGGTATGAAAACTTTCACAGCTTGCAGTATCTTTTACAAGTCATATATACAAATACAAGTACGTAAACAAAAAAGTATACTTTAGGAGAAAACAAACAAACAAAATAACTGATTTAAAAAAAAAGAGGTGCTCAAGGTATAAATAAACAACATATAAGTCAAGTGAAACTATACATTCGACACAGCTCTTGTGTTTTACATGCTTTGGAGTTGGTGCTGTTCTTTAGATTCTCTGGATAATTGGAAAACGGGGCTTTAAAAGCAAATATGTTTGGACGCTGTTGAAAATTTTGTACAATGTATGTGAAATTTGGCAAAAATAATCAGAAGATTGATAATATTTTTTTTTCCTGGATTTATTTTATGGGTATGTGAGAGGCCAAATAGAATATGTTGAAACTTCAGTTTACCTGAGGGATCAATTTGTCTGAATTCATATTTGAAGTTGTGCTCCTCAAACTTTTCACGTCACTATATGGTGAGGGGGGAAAAGGTAGATGCTGCCACCTTGTGTCGTTCGTATTAATGTGCATCTGCCAATAGGAGAAGGAAAGGTGCAAACCTAGAGCAGTAGAGGGGATGCATGTAGACCAGGGGTGGGCAACTCCAGGCCTCGGGGGCCGGTGTCCCTGCAGGTTTTAGATGTGTCCTTGAACCAACACACAGCTGATTTAAATGGCTAAATTAGCTCCTCAACATGTCTTGAAGTTCTCCAGAGGCCTGGTAACGAACTAATCATGTGATTCAGGTGTGTTGACCGAAGGTGAGATCTAAAACCTGCAGGACACCGGCCCTCAGGGCCTGGAATTGCCCACCCCTGATGTAGACAATCAAAGAGAAAAGAAACACAGCATGAAAATGCAAAAAAAGAAAATAAATCTTTAATATTTGTCTTAATTACAAGATGTTATACAAGATTTTTTTTCAAAGAACCATTTGGATATACTGGACATCCCTGGGCAGCCATGTGCTGCTATGGAAAAGGGTTTGAATTCATATTTTATAAAATAACCTCCTTGCCTTTGTTGGGCAGATTAAACCTTGACTGTCCCTGAAATCTTTTTTCTCAAATATTTAGCTCTGGGTCGTTTGAACTTAATTGTTAAACTTATGTTCATATTAGTAATTTTAACCAAATAGTTTTCAATCCTTAATTCAGTCTGAAATCCAATCTTTAGCCCGGTCAATAAAAAGTGAAATTTCAAAACTATATCCATGGAAAATGGAATAAAGAAGGGGACTAAAGTAAATTACTCTTCTTTCGGTGCACCTGTTCAAATGCCAGCAAATCAGCCAAATAGCAACTCAGTACATTTAGGAATGTATCTGCTTAACTTTAAATTAAGCATCAGAATGAGGAAGAAATTAGATTTAAATGACTGAAGTTAAATTTGGATTTTCCCACACAACCAAAGCTAGGACTTACAGTGGTCAGAAAAAGAATATCCAGTTAGCAGCTGTTTGCTGGGGGCTTTAAATCAATCTCTAAGCCTGTAGGTGTTATTTCATACACTGACCTGTTTAAATGACATTAATAATATGGGTGGTAGAAGCACAGTCTTATTTTACACTAAAAATACAGAATCAAGACGCCAGAGTACTTCTCGCTGTTGAAAATGCCCACCTGTTTTTGTCTACCAGTGTGCCTGTTGCAATGCTAACACTTCGGGCACTAATGTTTGAAAAGTGTGCACATTTATTTTTTAGATCTTACTACTAACAAAAAAAGAAGAGAAAAAACACCATTTTAAATGCAAAGTAATATTTATTCTGTAAATCAATGACACTGTGACATGTAAACAACATTTTTCTTTTTACCTTTATAAACCTGTTACTGCAGTACATGAGCTCAACATTGTGCTGTTATGTGTTCATACATTCAGGCATTAAAAACCGAATTTTGCTTCAACTGTGTTCAAAAACACTAATCTACTGTTGCTCTTTGACTCAAACCCATCCGGCTAAAAACGGAAAGGTAAAAATGGAAATGATCACACTGATAAGCAAAGAAAGAAACTGTGGTTTCACAGCATCAAAGCCAAATGTCTAAACCTGCAGCAGTGCATAATATTTGCAAGGCACGAAGCTGAACCCAGCTCAACTTCTACATCTAGACAGCACTGCTCCACGTTTGCTATCGGCACTCGGTCGCTGAGAGTTTCAGACTCTGATAATAGATAATCTATTTTTGCGTCTCTCAATTTTGAGTTCTCGTAGCACATTCAGAAAAGTCTTTGTAGTGTTGCATGATTTAACATCAATGTTGAAATATTATTACACCACAAAATCCTCTATCCTCTAGTATTTCTTTCATACTACAGCTTCTAAGATCCTGAAAGAAAACTTTACTTAAGATATAAGCACAGCAGATGTATTTTAACCAGATCCTCTGATCTGTAAAATTGTACCCGCAGAGAATTTCTCTCTCGTTCGGTGTAAAGCAGTGTGCACACCACGAAATTTCAATCACAATAATGCACACTAGAATGCAAGTTAGCATTTCACAAATACTGAGCTGCACAAAATAAGATTACTTGTTTGGCAATACAAAAAGTTTTTGGTGTTTTTAATACAGTTCAAATTTTAAAAATCTAGTTGTCTAAATTTGTTTGATATACTTTTACCATGTTTCATTTGCTACACAGAACCAAGTACAGATTCCAGGATCAAGTAAATCTTATGCCTTTTGCTTATTTATGAACCATGAGAAGAACAGCTCCTGTAGGTAGTACTGCCTACCAATGACCATGTGATGGCAGTGCAACATTCAATATTGTGGCCTAGTTTTGATTTCTAGTTGATACAGGCTGCATATACATATGCAATTATCACAACTTTTTTTTTTTAAAACTGGGATTCTGCATGTTATGAATTTACTGCACTTTGTTACAGACAAATCCATAGAAACGGGCCACAAAAACACTGCACATCAGTCGAAGACGTCTTCGTCCTGTGCAGATATAAGGCGAGACTCCCCATGATGCAAAGTGAAGAAACAATCTGGTTTCAGTCCCTTCTGTTCCAAAGCCTCTCTGAGTCGAAGAGGTGGATCGAGGTAATACTGCATGACAAGAGAAAACATGCATGTTAAGATATTGTTCGAGCAGCTACTCCAACACATTCAGTTTTTTTAGTTCTGCAGATTTTTCAGTGATTATTACATTTATATCACTTCGATTTCAACAGAGGCTGCATTAAACTGGGACGGCTGCAGGAATACTCATGCAGCTCAACAATGAAACCTTTGTTTTACTGTGTTGCCAGAACATAATAGTGTCACAACACTATATCTAAACAACGAGCTCTTGCATTGATATGGCACTCACAGAGTAGCTCTTAGGTCTATTGCAACCTCAAATACTAACTGCCTTCGATTACAAAAAAATTGGAATGCTCTGTAAAATGTAAATAAAAAGAGAATGATGATTTGCAAATCTCATAAACCTGTGCTTTCCACAAGATAAACAGTCCATAAATGACTGGGTAATGAGTAGACCAGCTTTGGGAGAGAAATGCTGTCTCATTATTCTAATCTGACTCTGTCCATTTTAAATGAGCTATAGCCTGTTGAAGATCTTATGCCTGTTCCTATACGGCTACTTCTTTTCATGATGTAGATTTAGCCCACATTTGTGCATAACATGGTAAACTGTACTCACTGAGTGGTTTCAGGAAGTGTTCCTGAGACAATGCTTTGATTTTTCATGACAGAATCATGCAAATTGTAATGCAGTTACACCTGTGGGCTCAACGTTTTTAGGACATTACTGATTTTTAACCTTGGCCTTTGCACACAGATTTCTCCAGATTATCTGAATTCTGTAGATGATATGTACTATTTAAAGTCTTTTTAAGTCAATTTTAGAATTTTTTAAATAATTTACAAATGCAGTTTGTTTTTTTTCAGGGTGGTTAAGGTCACTTTGAAGAAACCCTCTTTTTATGCCAAATCATGTTGGTGACCCGTTGCCAATAGCACTAATTAGCTGTAAAGTGTTCCTCCAGCTGTTTCTCTTTAGTCTCACTTAGTTTATCAATCTTTTGTTGCCTCCATCCCAAATTTTTTTGAGATGTGCTGCTCCCATCAAATTCAAAATAAGCCAATATCTTTCAGGAAATGGTAAAATGTCTCTAATCATTTGATGCTTTTTTTAATGTTTCATTATCAATCAAATATGGGTTTGAGATCTGAAAATCACTGCATTCTGTTTTTATTTACATTTCATACAGCGCCTCAACAATTTTGGAAGTGAGGTTGTATAATAGTAACAAAATACCAAATTGAATGCTACTGAAATACCTTGCATTATGTAACCTTTGTTGTAAAAATAAATAAATAAATAAAAAAATAGAAACACCAGTCAGTCAACCTGTCAACTAACTTGTTTCAAAATGATTATATCCTCATGAGAACAGAGGAAAAAAGACTCTTCCCATTAATTTTGTGTGATTTCCTTCCTTTTTGTAGCTAAAAGGGGACCCAAACACATGACGTATCATTGGAAAGCCCAGGATGTCCTCTATTTAGTACACCAGGACTTAATAGGGTAGCTCAAATAAGTCAAAAGATATAGAGCAAAAACACATGTGAACATTAAGCATGACCAAAGCACAAATATAAACATGTGTTTGCTTGTTAAAGAAATGGGGTTAGAGGGGAGAAAAAGACTAGGGGAGGATCACAACTCAGATGTGTCTGTTACAACAGTAACGCAGGAGTGATCACTGGAAGTTAATCTTGGGAAGATAGTGAGATATGGACAAAATCAAATTTTGATGAGAAAGAGGTATGCATTGAGTAATGGAAATAGCATCATGACTTTAAATCCTTATAACCAATGTTTTAAAGCAAAGTTGAAGTATTCATGGTGGCAATGCCATGGTGATTATAAGAATCTTTAAATTCACTGTGCAGTAGTCCAGTGAATAGTCAATAGTTTAACATAAAACCACAAACTTAATAAACACATTGAGCCGGTAAGTGGATTCTGATGCTACAGAATTGATTATTCCATCTTTGCAAATCTCAGGCATTAGAGGGCCATTGATCTTCTATTCCAACTCTTTCAAAGAAGGCAAATCATCTAGGTTTTAAATATTTATTTAAAGAATATATAAGGGATCCATAACTAAATAAATGTATTTGTGTGGCATTACCTCATACGCGAGGGCAAAGGTGCCCCAGTGAATGGCCACCGACTGTCTGGCCTGAAGGTCCTCGTGAATCTGAACGGCCTCCTCTGGATCTACATGCTGTCCTTTCATCACGTCTCTGAAAAACCAAGTAATATTCAAGTAGTCTTTGATATCTGTTTTTGTTACAATAGGCACAGCATTATGGAAAAATGAATAGCTTAGAGGTAGAGTTAACTGCAATTAACTCTACCTACCGACTTTATTGTTGAAACATGAATGTGCCTCTAGAACAGAGTAAATAAAAACTGAATCTACAGTGCCATCATTTTCCCACATATGTTTACTTATTTAGAAAACTATTTATTTTTTTGTAATTGTGACAAAGTACTGTCTGTAGAAATGTTAAAATAATCATTAGACGTGTTCCGAATGTACATTACAAAAGCAAATTCAGTGGCCAAACATTAGATTGTAAGGATGTTCTTAATAAAGTGCACATGTGTATTACCTGGGCAGGTATGCTCCGATAGGGATTGCTGCAAGGTCAAATGGTCCAAAGCGTCGTCCTATTTCCGCAAAGGAAGAACAGTAGCCAGTGTCGCCAGCAAAGAAGAAACGATGGTCTGGACCCAAAACGGTCCAGCTGCTCCATAAAGACTGGAAAAAATGTTTTTTAAAAAAAAGACCTGAATTTTATCAATTTTATCTTTTTTGAATTCAAGATAAAGATTTAAACAGAATTTGTTGTCCTATAAAAATGACAAAGTTCTGCTGTTGGCTTGTTTAGGGTCATGTCACTTCACTAAATCTTATTAAACAATTAAGCAATAATGTGCATGTTGTTGTTGTTGTTATTATCTTACTTTGTTATCATCCCATGCTGTGCGTTTGCTCCAGTGCTGCGAGGGTGTGCAAACAAACGTGACATCATCATGACCTGGGACACAGTTCTCCTCCCACCAGTCCAGCTCCATCACATTCTCACAGCCCATCTTCATCAGCCAGTCCATCAAACCCATTGGCACGAACCTGACACACACAATGCAAAAAGGTACATGTAATTTCTAATAAAGGGCACTAAAGGGCACACTGTTTGACAGTAGGAAGTGAACATATGACATGAATGGAAATAATATTGTGGACCACTGATCCACCTCACGTACCAGCGTAGCTCTCCTCCGAAGCGAGCATTAAGACTGGCCACAGATCCAGCATCCAGATGATCGTAATGAGAGTGACTGATGACCACTGCATCAATCCTAGGAAGCTGTTGGCAGGAAAGTAAAAGAAGAACCTTAAAGGTGGAGGAATAAATAAAAAATTTTAACAAACAAAAATATATGTATGTATATATAGGAACCTGCTCCACAGTGCAAGGAGGACCTCTGAATCTTTTGGGTCCCATATATTGGATCGGCGATGCCCTCTGACTGAAGATTGGATCTGTCAGAACATTCACCCCATCGATTTCAACCAGAACTGTGGCATGGCCCAGCCATGTGACTCTCAGTCCTGGACCAGAGCCAGAGAGGTTTGGGTTCTGCACAAAGTATGGCTCCATCACAGGGAGCTCACGATCCAGGGCCTTTAGAGACGAGGGAGAGGAACAGGCCATCCATAGTTTAAAAAATAAATAAATAACAGACAAAGTAAGATGTAAGAAGGGATGAAACAGATGGGTGCAGGAGGGGCAAATTATTTAATGCTGAAGGCCACCTTTGCTATAACTGTACTTTACACCTATGAATTTGCTAGTAGTTGGTAAGCACACCCATTTTTAAAAGTTTGAATATAGCAACAAACAGTAGAGTCTGTGCTAATAACGGGTTAACCTTTTTTCTGTTGCAGTGTGAAAGCAGCTTGTTAAGCCCTCACTGAGCTCAGCAGGTTTTCCAATAAGACCTATAAATAGTGTGTGTGTGAGATGAAATCGGCCAGTGATTCTTAGTAAAGATGTATTTGTCCTGAACTCATTTCCAAGGAGGCTAAATTTTGCCAACAGCTGTTTTCTATATAAACTTGAGACCTGCACATTTAAAAATTGATTAGTGACGCTTCACTGTGACTTGGATTAAAACCAACAGCTAATAGTAAACTGGTGATTATAAGTAAGTGATTACCTACCTCTTTACTAGAAGGTACATTGCTGTTATCTTTTTCTAAGAACAGGAACCTGAACAGCATCGAGTAGGAAGGAAAGCGCCACGTTGGCCAGGGGTTAGCCCAGCGGCCATGTTTGTCCCGACACGACTTTGTCACTTCTTCCTGCAAAAAAAGTAAACAATAGCATATTTGCTATGTTAGCAAGTCATTTTGGAATCTACAGTTGTATAAAATATACAAGTTTATTTTTCACAGGAAAGTCACAAAGTGCCTGATGCCTAAAGAAGAAACATTAAATAAAACCAAAACAACAAAACGGACACATAAACAAGACAAAGTCAGACACAAAGACCCCAAAGCCTGACTTTACCCATTTTTAAAAGCCCCATCTGAAACAATAAAACAACTCATTCCAACGTTTTGGAGCAAAAAGATGCCCCTTAGATAAAATAAACAAGTTCCACTCCTGACATAAAAACCTAACGAAAGGGAACTATTCAACATTACCCCAAGGTTACATAAGCTAGATTTAACAGAACTAACAAACCTACTGCCTTGTTTGAACCTTGGGATTGCGCTATCTGGGACAATGGTAAGAGTCTCTTTCATCAGAAATGAAATGTAGAAATTGTCATTTAACTAAAACTTGGAAATCAAACAGTTTGTAGAAATGTTTTTATAAATTAGATATTATCTGTTCAAGAGTTAACATCTACAAGCTAAACAGGATAGTTCCAAAAATGATCCCTGTGGAACACCACAGAACGAGGGAGGTTTTTCTGACATGATTAATAACAACAGAAAAACTTCTCTTTCTGTGAGATGAGATTTAAAGCATGCTAATGCAGATACAGACACAGCAACCACCTGATATAACCAATTTAAGAACACTGTGTGATCCATGACATGAAAAGCTGAACTCGGATGTAACAAAACACAACATGCGTAACTAGAGAGGAGGACTTCACAGAACGGAGAAGCTCTGAGGTGAAACTGAAGCCTCAGGATTTGGGTTTTATTAGATAGCAGGGTGACAGTAATAGAGGGTCTTACCTCCAGTCGGTAGTCCAGGCGGAAGCTTTTGCGGGAGGAGCTGCTCTTCCTTGGAGTCCGAGCATCCACCTCTCCACCCTCAGCACCTCTAGGCTCGCCACCATCCTGAACAATGAGTACACATAGAAACTATAGTAAACTTGAATTCTTCTAAACATTTTTAAGAATTGAAAATAAACACTTAGCATACAAGAACGTAGTGAGAAAACATGAAAAAAATTATATCAGTGCTTTTATTAAATTCTGCAAATTCTTCTGGCGTCAAAGACTGACACATACATCAGGATTACACAACAGTTTTAAAAACACTAAGAAGTCCCTTTAACGGTTATCATGAGTTAATGACCTGAGCAGTAATTGCAAAGCCTTTTCAAAGCACCTATTTTAACATGTAATTACATTTGGCAGGTCAAAAGAAAAAGCACAGGTGTGTTTCGGAATGGGAATTAAAAACCGGTTTTCAAAGTTTACCAGGGCTGGCCTTTTTTTCCCCCTCAACAGTTGGACACTGAAAAACAAATGGATCAAACTCATGGCAGTGTTGCTTCTGCACTCCTCAGTCTCTTTTTTCCCTTGCTCTGCTTCCACACTGTGTTCACAATCAGATAATAATACAGCTACACTGAAGATCTATGTAGGATTTCATTTGGTTCCCCACACAGAAAATTACTAAAGACTGAAATCAGAAAGTAACAGTTTCCTCCCTAGGGTGACTGGGCCTTCGGGATAGGGTGAGGGCCTCAGACATGTGGAGCGATCTCAGAGTAGAGATGCTGCTCCTGCATGTCAAAAGGACTCAGCTGAGGTGGTTCTGGCACCTCCTGGGCAAGCCCAACTGGGTGGAGACCCCAAAGTAGACCCTGAACCCTCTGGGGAGATCATATATCTCATCTGGCCTGGGAGAGCGCCTTGGGATACCCCAGGAGGAAGTGGAAAGTCTGGTTAAGGAGAAGGACATCTAGAATACACTGCGCAAGCTAATACCTGCTGCCACCGCAACCCAACTTTGGACAAGCGGAGGATGGATGGATGGATGTGAGAATACCAACGCTTTCAACAAAATCTTATCAATATTCACCTCCAGCTAAAAAACTAAAGCAAATATGCAACCAAATTTGCAGTGCTACCAAGCAGAACTTTGTAAACATGTGCCACCTTTTTCCATTATATTCAACAGAAGGCAGATGTCTTTTGTTGTGATGGTGCTGTATTAAGAGGATTGCAGGCATAAGGAAAAACATTTATATTTCGTTTTGCGGTGAACTTTCCATTTAAACCACGGCGCCATCTAATTGCAGCTGATAAAGTGCATTACCTCCACCAGGCCTTTTCTCTCCTCGAGCTCAGCTCTGTCTGAAGATGACGGCTTCTCCATGGCTTCAGCGCCCCGACCACACCTAGCACTGACACACAAACACAGTATTAACTTCACAACAGTGCTGCAAAGTCCTGCACAGCGAGCAGAACCACAATTATACCAGAAGACAATGAGAACAAAGACATTACATAAACACAACTGCAACCAAGTTATAGCCTGGCCCCTTTCACTGATAGAACTGTACTGATAACAGAACACACAAACAGCAGACAGTTAAACTGCAACACTTTGCATAAGACAAAAAGATGATAATCAGGCACAGTGAGATCAGCTTTACTGTATTCAAATAAAACTATTATCTGACGTGACATTTAAATGCTTCCACTGTGCATTAAATTCAGTTGTTCAAACCTTGCCACTGCTTTTATAATTAAGGACTTGCTGGCAGGAAGAAGTGTGTTGACAGCTTTTTTCTCTTGAGTAACAGCGATTGAGAAGTAACTGATGTTCTGACACACACAAATCTAAAGACATTTGCACTGTAATTCCACTGTTTACCACATTAAAGCTTAACAGCGTGCAAGAACTCATGGGTACCTTAAACTGCTATTTTTTTGGGTGAATGTCTCCTTCAAACACGGTGGTGCAGAATTAAACTTTAAATGGAGTTTGCCTTGCCGTAAAGCATTCAAACAGGACTGGGTGTGTGACCGGAGTGAATAATGATTTCATCAGATAAAGAAGCATATATTTATGAAGGCACTTAGACGAGAGAAAGCCAAGAAGTCTAATCACAGCCCTTCCTTATCCTGCTATTATCCACAACTATCAGAGTTTGGAATACACCCTCACTATCATGCACTCAGCAATGCTTCCTTCATGGATCCTCTTATGCAAAGAGAAATAATCAGAATCAGAGAAACTTTATTAATCCCAGAGGGAAGTGGAGTAAATAAACCACATCTAATGCAGTTATGCAACAAAAAAACAAAACAAAACAAAGTGCACTTGCTCTCTGTGGGGAAATCCACACATTAAACCATGCCATGCTGATGATGCACTTGGCCTCATGAATGGAACTTACACACACACACACACCAGGTTAACAATGGGGTTCTGTGGATGACAATCAAAATAGGTCTTTGCATCTAGCCAGCATGCCTGCCATGGTTGTATAAACAACAAACACAACCTCGAGTCAGGTTTTTCCTGAATTCAAGAGAAATATCAGTTTACTATTGAATAAACGCACATGTGAGCTTTAAAGACTGGACAGCACATGCTAGAAATAACCTTGACACAAGTTAGAAATAGACTTAATCATATATACTGCTGTGAAATTAATTAAGAATTCATGAAAGGAAATAATTATGAACATGACAACAGCTGCCAACTGATCGAGTTTAACCAGCACATTATGACATTTATCCGTTTCCTGTTGCAAAGGTGTCAAACACGCGATAAGGATGGCAAACTGCAAACCACTACTGAGAAACTAAACCATTATATCCTCACCAAGCGTAAGAAGGAAATACTGCACACTGTATTTTACCGAGAACTCGCCTAGCAAGTGTGTTCAAAAGGAAAACAATGACTCTAGGAACAGGCCACCATAGCATTATCGTATACCACAAGCGTCGTCTAACGTCAGGTTCTAGCACCTACCTTCCCGAAAACTTGAACTCAGAATACCACCAGTGCTTTCCTTAGCGAGGAGACATGTTCTCTGCATAAACGTTAGCTTCGGACTGTTTTAATGAGCAGCATTTATGAGGAGCTGCACGCATTTTGCAGCACAGTTTACATCACTGCAGCATTACCCCGGAGGGACTATCGACAGGAAACGTTAAGCCGGCTGTTAGCAGGACGTCGTTCAAAGATAAAATGTGAAGTTCTTAACGCAGCAGGACGGTTACGGACCATATCTCGGTACCAGCTCGGCGTCTCTGACGTCGGTGCGAAAAACCCTTTGATCACGTGACGCGACAAACTCTCGCCGCGGTTGTGGGATATTTTATGAAGGAGAAAACCGCTGTAACGAACTATATTATTAAAAAAGAAAAAGATTTTTAAATCAGTATTTTAAACATTGATTCCACCGCCAATGTTACTAGTAATTATTATTATTATATTAATTATTATACCTCAGCCAAAACAAAAGTAATAAAATCATTCAATTTTAATACAATTTTATTTATTCAGCGCTAAATCAGAACAACAGTCGCCTCAAGGTGCTTTATATTGTAAGGTGTACCCCCACAATAATACATACAGAGAAAACCCCAACAATCATATGACCCCCTATTAGCCAGTGCTTTGGCGACGGTGGGAGGAAGAAAACTCCCTTTTAACAGGAAGAAACCTTCCGCAGGACCAGGCAATTATAATTATTATAATCATAACTTGAATAAACAGAGTAGATACAGATTTGACTGTCTCTCTCGTGTGTGTGAGTGCTATTTAGTTGTGTGATAGGTATATAGCTGCACAAAAAAAGGGAATATTCTCTACATTAAAATTTGTAACTTGAGTGATGCCGTCTTTAATTAAAGACACTGCTTTTCATTTGGGATTTTCCACAGTTGTAGCAGCAGTGCAGGAGCCCCAGCTGTCTCTGTGTCACTGGTTCTAGTTCAAGATAACCGAGAATTTGAATATTTTTAAGATAGTATAACGAAGAAAGCGGTTTGAAATGACGACTGAGACCCGGGCACAGCAGTGGACTATGTGACTGTAGGGTTCCCATGAGGACTGTTTAAAAGAGTCTTTGTGTAGTTTATATACGACTTAACTTACCTCGAGTTCCTCCACCTGATGGACACCTGAAGGGAATGTAACCCAAGGAAACCCACTAAATTCAGTCGCGTCTTAACCTTATTAAACTTACAACTACATACCAAACACAACAGTCCAGACTTGGACAACACTGTTTCCATTGCAGGCCCTTGTATCTGACCATAATTACTTGGCAGTTTTCGGAGAAAACAGCCAGAGGACACAAAGTTACGCACAGACGAGGTTTAGTGTCCGGACTGCGAAGACTGTGAGAACTTCCTGTTAGTTGCTTTCACTGACTTTCGGAAATCAGAATCTCGCTGATTTTAAACAAACTCGAGATCTTTAAGATTATTTCAAACAATTTAATTTCAAATTGGTTTCGAAATTAAACTTTGGGTCTGCTCATCTGAAAATGCATTAACTAAAAACCCAATTGTGGCTGAATGAATTAAAAATGTATTCAGTGTTGTTCTTGAGGTTTTTTTGGGGTTTTTTTTTTTTGCCATAATCTAGAAATTAGTTGGTGCAGAAACTATAAATAATAGTTACACTTCATTTACTGCATTACTTGACAATCCTAAAAGCTGAATCCCTGAATATGGATTGTACAACATAGCACTGGTCACCAAATAAATTGTAATCTTAGATAGACAAACTGCAGTTTTTAAATGATGAATTAATTTATTAAAGGAAAAGCTATCCAGACCTACAGAATATGTCAAAAAGTAACTGTCCTACTTGTTAAATCATGAATAAAATGTAATTAACCACAATGTTGAAAAACTGGTTGCAGCTGCCTGATTACTGCCAGACCAGGTGAATTACTAAACACTCAAAACTGTCTGACAAAGCAAAGATTCTCAAAAAGAAACACATCATGCCAATCTAAAGAAACTCAAGAATAGATGAGAAAAAGCCATTGACATCCATCATTCTGGAAAGGGTTACAAAGCCATTTCTAAGGCTTTGGCACTCTAGTGAACCACAGTGAGAGCCATAATCCACATACAGAGAAAACTTGGAACAGTGGTGAACCTTCCTTGGAGTGGCTGACCCACCAAAATTACCCCAAAAGTACATCCAGGATGTCACAAAAGAAGCCAGGTCAGAGTTCATAATTCAACTACAATAAAAAGACTGGGCAAAAATGGCAACCAATGTCCAGCCACTGATGTGTGCCCTGAAGCTGAAACACTGTTGGGTTATGTAGCAGGACAGTGAACCAAAAACATAACAGCAAGTCTACCTTTGAATGATTAAAAAAAAAAGAAAGAAAAAAGAACGACCTAGTTTAAGTCCAGACTCCAATCCAGTTGAGATTATTTGGTATATTACTTGGATGACCTTATGTTCCAAACCCACCAGTGTGCCTGAATTAAAACAATTCTGCAAAGAAGAGTGGATCATGATTCCTCCACAGTGATCAGCGCCAGTTATCACAAATGCTGAGTTGCAATCCTCGTTGCCAAGGTTGGCACAATCAGTTATTAGGGTTAGGTATAACTACTTTCTCCACAAAGGGCCAAGGAGGATTGGAGAGCTTATCTCTCCCCCTTAATAAATGAAATCCTTTATTTAAAAACTGCCGTTTGTATTTACTTGGATTTTTTTTCTGTCTAATATTAGAATTAAATGATGACCAGAAATATGTAACAAATATGTAAAACAAACAAACATAAAAAAAACAGGAGGGGGGTAAATACTTTTTTTCACAGCAGGTCACCTTCTTTATATTGAGAAAAAAAAGTATCCCAATCTTTATGAGCCAATTGTTAAAAATATTTACATAAAACACAAGGAGGCTAGTACTAAAGGACAAGCTATTCACACTGAAAGTCGTGTGTCTAGTGCAAAAATGTTTGTCCTAATTGACACAGTAATAGTGACCTTATATCAGGATGACTGAACAAGACTGGCTTCAAAATCAAACCAGAGAAATGACAGCTTTGTGTTTCATCATTCTCCCTCACTGGTTTGATCATGTTTGGGGAGAACAAAAAAAAGATGCAGATGCATAGAACCAAAAGCAGACTTGATTTAGCTACAAGAAAAAAGGCTCACAACACTTTGTGATTTCTGACTCTTTAGAGTGTTGCAATAAAAAACAAAACTAGAGCATTTGTATGTTTAGAAGAGTTTTTGTGGCCGACTACATTTTTAAAGCACTTTCCTACCAACTCAAAACATATTTACATGTTTAAGATTCCCTTGGACGCTCAACAAAAATAAAATGCAAAAATCCTCAAACAAATAACAACACTGACTTTTTTTGTTTGTTTGTTAAATCCTTGGAGAGGGCAGGAGCACAGAAAATTGCTTCAACAACTGATTGCATCCATAAGCATATTTGTCCTTCTTTCAGTGCTCTTTATGGTCTCCGTCCTCTTCCAGTTTTCTAATCTCTGCCTTAAGGTGGTTGATGTTCTCTCTGCTGGCTTTGAGTTTGTCTTTCAGCTCCGCGATCTCTTGGCTTGTTCTCTTCTTTGCCACTTCCAGTTTCTCCTTGGTCCTCTGCTCCAGTTCACCGACTGGAGAAACGCACAGACATGAAGACAAAAGCGACTCAAAACTTGTGAATGCCTTTTTGTTTTGTTTTTTAAACCCGTGTTGAATATATGAATACATACACTCCGTCTCATGTTTGTAGGCTCCCAGGGTGAGTTGCCTCGATGTGGTCAGTAGCTGCTGCATCATGGCTGTTGGATCCTGAAAGATCTGAAACGCAGAAAAACGACGCATTCAGAGTTCTCGCTCTCAACAATAACATGCAGCGATTGATGAGCTCACACAAACTGATATACAAACACCGTCAGAGTCTAAATCAATGGTACCATTTCATCGTAGAATTCAGACACAACTGTCTTCTTGGGCATGGCACTGGAATCTGACTGGAACAGCTTCAACAGGTGGTACAAGGTCACCTAAGAAAACAAAACCAGAAATTCAAGCAATGGATACAGGCACATTTTAAATAAGCTGATCCTCATGGACAACTATATATTACTTATCAAGTGCTGAGGATTACACAGTGCTGTTGTGTAAATATAAATCAGATGGCTTTTGATGTTTTTTTTCTTATAAGAAACCATACACTAAAGAAGAACCATTTAAACTGTACACTAAGAGAAATAGCACACCACACTCAAAAGTGTGTATTTCTTTTATTTATAACGTGTATTTGAAATACTAGGGCGGTGGTTTAGACACTCACCTAACAAGTGATTTGGTGGTATATAAATAAAACTGATTAGAAAATTTTAAACTCTAGCTCTCTCCTATATGCATCTCTTGTTCCGTCTCCCTCTTCCCTTTCCCCTCACCCCCCAAATAAATCAAAGCAGATGATGGAGAGCCCGCTCATCTATCTCCTTAACCACTTATCTAATTCAGGGTCATGGGCTGGAAACTATCCCAGATGTCACAGGGTGAGAGGCAGGGTATACCTTGGACAGGTCTATAACAGAGCTAATACAGATTGAAAGGCAACTAATTTAGAACTAGTTACCCTAACATGTGTGACTGTGGGAGGATGACACTGAGAGAAGCTACGCAGATACAGGGAGAACATGCTCCACACAAAAATGCCCCAGCTGACCAGGAAGGACAAACTTTGCTTTGAGGCAAGGCTGCTAACCACTGTGTCCACATGCCACTCAAGCTCTAAAATGTCTATCATCAAGCAGTCAAAATATATTAAAACCCTTTCATTCTGGTCCACCTGTATGGTGGATTCAAACCCTGGACCTTGCTGTAAGGCAACGGTGATGACAACTGCACCACCGTATCGCTCAGCTTTCTCTGAAATAGCTAAGTAACTATTTGTGTTGGCTCTTACAGGTCTCTCATTGGGATCGATGAAGAAGATCTTGATGATGATCTCAAACTCCCCCCAGCCTGTCTCTGTGATTTCATATGGAGGCTTAGTGACCACTGGAAATAAGAGAAACACAGAGAGCTTCACAGAATAATGAATTTTCTGAAAAAGTGTCATATATTAAAAATGGATAGATTACTATTTCCAGTAAATCCTTCAATATTTCATACTTGCAATGTAAAGAGTCATCTCACCTCTCAGAGGGTTACCATAGCTCTCATGTAGCTTGAACTGGATCTTTTTCACATAAGCTGACATATCCTGGTAGAAAAGTATTTTTTAAGTCTTTTCAAACAGCATTTTGTATCCTTTTTCAGGTAAATGACACATTTTGTAGGCCCTGCTAAATCCCTCTTACTGATGTGGATGCCTCACCTCATTTCTGTAAGGCTTCACATACACAGACCACTGGTGTGTGTGCCCATCCTCTTCTCTCTTCTTTCCAAAGTAGCGGGCAACATTCCCAAACACAATAGGCTTCACAATAGTCACTCCCTGCAGCCAACAGAGAGAATACAGAAATTTAAAAACAGGCATGACAACGGTACAAGTGGCAAATACAGAAGTACAGAAATTGAATCCGACCATGCGATTTTCGTCGTTATCTCAATCCACGTTAAATTATTCTGCTCATTGTTTTAAATGATATAAAATCACAAAGTGGTTCGCCTACACTAGAGTGTGGCGTTAGTTACGTTACCTTAACGCGCCCCCCGGAATCTGGACCAAATTCAGTCATCTTTTTGAACATATTACAACTAAAACAGTGCCGCTAATCCTTTAGTGCGTTATGCAGGACTCTTTGTTGTCCGCTCAGCTTTCTTGTCTAAAAACATTGCCATTTAGGTATTAAAAGTAGGCGTTACACACAGAGTACTACCATTTTAAACTGCCAGCCAAACAAGCGCCGGAAGTAGGTAGTGCAACGTATTAATCTGTCCTGATAGAAAGGCTACCAGGATTCTAAGGTTCCGGGCCCGGCGGAAGCAAGAACGTTTGCGGCCATTACAAAAGCAACCAAACTATGGCCAATGAATCCAGAATCTTTTAGTTCTAGGCTTCTGTGATCTTTTACTTCAAGTGACATGATGATGTCTAACATGACTGACAATACAGAAAACAGCAATTACTTTCGGCAATCCTGTTTTCATTTGCTCATTATACTGGATATTTTCGTCACTTTTAAGGTCTAAAAAAATGTATTTATCTGTCAATGTTTCTAGTGAGGAAAAACGAATCACTTACGCAATGCTATTTTAAGTATTCGTTTTATCCAGCAGAACATTCACAATCGGACAGGATTTCGACTCTTTTTACACAATAGTTAAGTTTTAAACCTCCTCACACCTGATATTCTGCACTTCTGTCCGACACTGTTTTATACTTTAACAACCCTTTACCATTATATTAGGATGGACTTAAAACTCTGTTCAAAAGTAAGCCTTCAGGTCTAACACTTAAGGTGCAAGGTCCAGGCAATCTCCGATGGCAAAACAAGTGTTTTGGCCTAAAGTTAAGAAAATACTTTTGGACATCATACGTGATTTTTAAGCAACTGCTCCAAAACAAAATTTACTTTCCCCACACTTGTTTCTAATAAAACGAAACGCATTATGCACAAATAAAACAGAACCACAAAACAAACTTAATTTGTATACTTTATTCTTTGAGAGCAAATGATAATCTATTTACCTGCAATGTACCACTACATGTAACCATTATTGGCGGTAGAAATACACCCGAACCTTAACTTAAAATCCCAAAGTTACAGTGGTGATACAAATTCAGCAAGTACCTTGCCCAAGTGAGACCATTTAATATGGAAGCTCATTTCATTTTTTGTAAAGTCAAAAACTATTTTACTCATCTTAAAAAACTATAACCTCAATTTGTAGCAGAAACATGTTTCCAAGTCATCATGCAAAGGCCCCTTTACTAGACAAGTGTGATTTTAAAATAAATTATCTAGAAACCAGCGAAACTAGCAGTTAGTGAAAACATCTTAGTCATAAAAATACTGAAAACTCATAAATACATATGTATATACTTTCCAACTGCTTGTGCAGTTTAAAGACTCCCGCAGTCGATCAGACTTCTTGTTTCTTCACTGGTTGTGTTTGCAGACCTAAAAATCACTTACCTTTTCGTGCTGCGGAACGAAAGCTAACACAAAGAAAATGAAACCAAATTCCTGTACAAATGCTCTTATTCTGGAGGACTACACTTCTGCTTAGCTTGACCAGGGCAGAACTCCATTGGAGTTACCAAATTCAATGCACAACTAAAGAAATAATTTAAATAAAAACGAATAAAAAAAGAAAAAGAAAACAAGGCACATGTATAGTATTTTCCCCCAAACAGATCAGCAGGAAATAAAATGAGGAAAAAGAGCAACTAACTAACATCAAATTAAGCCAATATCATTAAAAACATGATATAGGGCCTTAAAACTTTCAACATTTTAAAACTAACTGTTCAGAAATAGCATCATTATATTCAAAAAGGTCCCATTTTTTTCTTTTTTTTAATATCAAAATCCAATTTACATTTTGTTTACATTACATCACACTTTCAGTGAATTTGCAAGGATACGGAGCAAAGGCACTTACATTCCCCAATAAGTCACTTTCTGAAGTATTCTGAAAAAGAATACACTTCAAGAGCAAGACAATGGTTTCAAAAGATGCTGGTACAGTTTCCTGCACAGCCTGTCATTCAAATTCCTGCTGTGACTCTGAATCCAAAAGTTTTACATTCACCGGTTACGTTTGAAAATAAGGCATTTTCTAAATTGTTACGGAGTGAAATTGAAATGACATTAATAAAAGAATAACCCCCAGAAAGACAAGGTGTGAACACAAGTTTCAGATTTTTTTTGGGAGCAAATTAAAAATTTCACCAATGGCGATAATTTCACAAAAATGTGTTATAATGTTGTCTGCATGCAACTTTGTTCTCGTTAAAAACCATACAAAAGCACCATGTTATTGCGCTGTATTCATACTGATTTGCATTTAGGACACCCGATGACACACTACAGCATCAAACCTCAACATACCTGTAATTTCCTGATTTCCATTAACTCACATTTTAAAAACTGGTGGTATAATCGTGTTATATCCTGTGTGCTGGGAAAGCTGTGGCAATGTAATTTACACTTGTTTTTTTAAAAAAAAATAATTGTAAGTTATAATAAAAATAACTGAGTAAAAGCTAAACCAGTCATTGCTATTTTCCCAACCTTGCATGAAAAAAACAAACAAAAAAAAAAACCCCTAAAAGCTTCAACAAATTGCTGTCCGTCCATTTTGACAAACATGCAAAACAATAAAAATGACAGGTGGCAGAATGTTTTACACTGTACCGACAAATTAAAACGCATTTTGTTCATGGTTTAGTTATTTAGATCTATCATGGAAAAGCCTTCAAAATTCAAATACATAAAACATGTAACATCTAAAGTGAAAGGCATGTAACAAACTGGTTCATACTTCCCAACTAAGGAATAAACACTTTCACTCAAGCTTCAACTATGAAGGCTGCTTGAATTAAAATCTGATTTTAAATCATTATATGACAGAAGTGAAAGACAATTTGTTCATGCGGTGTTTCAGTGATAATTATTCAGTGGAATTACAAAATAACCCACCATCAAAAACCATTCCAAACAGCAGGGTCTTCTCTTTTTGGTTTAGCATGTTGACTATGTAATGCAACATAAGATAAAAACAAACCAAAGTGACTACATCCTTGCCATTTACCACTGTAAAAAAAACAAAAAAAACAAACAAACAAATAATAATAATAAAAAATCTAAGTCTGTATATACATTTAATATAAATGAACGAAACGTAGAGGAATTCACTGAATGCAGAGTGTACCTCAGTAAACATTTTTTATTACAACACCATCTAATTTTAATCAAAAAGCAGAGACATTTACAAACGTACTAGCCATGAAAAGAATAAATGAGAACGAGAGAGTGAGGGTAGGAGAGAAAACATCAAGCACATACCTTATAAAAACTAATCTCTAAACTGTATATACACACACAATACAGCGAGCCAAAGAACAAGAAAAAAAAACAAAAAAAACAAAAGGGTGTAATGTTTGTGTCTTCTATTTGGGGATCGTGCAGGCCATTTATTTATTTATTTATAAGTCGCAAAAAAGCATCACGCTTACTTTTCATGTCAAATAAAACATCATAAAAATAAAGGAGCTGTTTGGAAAGATTCTTTTGTCATCTTTAGTTACCATGAGTATAGAAGTTTGGATAACATAGCCTTACACAGGTCAGGGTCTTCCATCCGCTGCTCTTAAACCAGGCAGACAACAGATAGAGAGAAGGATGGGTGGAGAAGGATAGGAGAGGAGAAATGGAGGGGGTGGAGGAAGTGATGGTAGTTGTGTTCCTGTCCGGTCATGCACGGAGGGCAGGGAAAGAGTTCCTCCTTTTCCTTCCATCCATCCTTGATCCTCGTAAGCTGAAAGGTGTCAAAACGAAGGGTGGAGTTTGGTTTGGAGCCAGCCCAACAGTGAACATTTTCCCCACTCATCATTAAACCTCTACACTACATACACAAAATTTACACCAGGGCTGGGTTCAATTCACCGTCACTCTGAGCCACGAGGTTGGAGTTTGTTCAAGTCATTTTATCTTAGCAAAGGCAGTGCAGACAGAGAAGCCTCTTACACGCGGCATAAATGGCACTATGGTATTTAACTGCTACTCTTAACACTCTGTTGGCTGTGTATTGTCCCCAACCCTAGCACAGACACAGAAACATATCATGCACAGTTCAACAGCTAACATTCAAGAACTTAAATTGAACTCTATGAGTATGTACACGCACACACAAAGAAAAGTATTTCAATCTTTCGTCAAGTCTGCCCTGCAACTACAGAAACATGGATTTCAAAGTATGTACATGCATATACACGTATATACATGTACAGATGTTTGCATGTGGCACTTAACTCTTTTAGACATAAAAATATTGATAACCATATGTAAATGCACTTAAATACCTGGGGCAATTTTGTTTGTTCTGTTACAGAATTACAAATTCAGGGATGGACAATGGTTAGTGTCTAAATGGCCAAATTGTGTATGACCATTTCGTCTTGTTTACAATATTATTAAATGGTGTACCTGCATCAACATTAGGCAATACCTTCAGAATATTAAGTCTTACTTATAGTGTTTCAATTAATTTGGCTCTCAGATGACTATAAAGTGCAGAAAACAGAAATAAATAACCTTTAAAACTTACAGGGAGTTTTATTGGAAGACCTGAGCTAAAAGTTTTTTTTCCTTTGATAAGTCTTTAACTATAGCAATAGGGATTTACCTTTCAATCACCTCCAAACATTTCAGTATTTGTCATTATGACCAGCAGGTTACATAACGGAGTACACTGAAAACTTTGCTCACTGTGGCAAATACCAGAGAAAACCATGGTTGCAATTTGTTTAAGCTGTATATTTAAGTGAAAAGACAAAGGACCAAAACAGTAATCAATCAAAAAAACAGCTATGAAGGAAAAAGCACATACGGCACATCTAGTGAAACCTTTCCTGCCCAAGCATACCAAGAGTTTTAATAAAACAGAAAAAAATGTGACAGTGTGATTCTTACGGTGTCGCAAACATGGTCAAAGTCAGGAAGATGGAATATTTTGTGCTTGTAATGCTTTGCATAGACAAAGTTGAGCATGCAAAGTACAGGAGTCAGAAAAAGCTACCTCTAACCATAATTGTAAAGGACAGCAGCAGTGGGATTACAGTTCTACACAATTTAAAGCACCTTACCAGAAATTTGTACAATTTTAAGATGAAATGACAAAAATTGTGATAAAGAAAGTCATTTCAAACTTGTTGTTTCAACATTAAAATCACTGCTTCACACGCTGAAATGAAGCCAGATAGAACTGGTATCTACACCAAAATTCAAGTAAGTACAGGTGATTTTTTTTACATTGTTTAATGATTCAAATGCATAATGAAATTTGATAGGTTTCATAATCTGAAAGGTTTTCTTTACACAGTATATGCCTGCAGACAAAAGCAGTTGAGCTTACAGCCACATCGCACATCTCAGTACTCCTCCCATAATCACACTTGACATAACTGAACTTTTCTCAAGGGTGAAACATTTAAATTATCAGCCCAATAAATCCTTTATATCGGGTTCATTATATTTCATATAAAACTTTAAAATGTGTAGTAGGTGTGTCAGTTAATACAGAATGGAAATGAAACGGGACAGAGCCAAACCAGGGTCAAGCAGTCCATGAAATAGTCTCAGTCCACTAACTTGGCTATGTGCTACAAAAGGCTCGGCAAATAAGATTGGGCCAATACTTACCACTGCCTAGCTTATAGACTGCCGTCTAATCTTTCACTGTTATTACTTATGTGTGTATGATATTTCAGAAAACTACTCACAGACAGCTCATTGAGTATGAAAAAGGTACACTTCTTTTTCACCAACTAACAGTTCATGTGTTATA